TGAAAGTTACCCTCACAAATGATCATAAATCCCAAAGAGAATGTTTGTGCAATGATGTTAAGAAGTGGGAAAGAGATCCAAGCAAGTGCACCTTCACCAGTGACAGAGGTGGAGGAGAAAAAAATAGAAGAAATCAACAAAGAATCTCCCAAAAATTCAGTTGAGGTAAAACTAAAACCTTCATGGCTTAATACCTATTATAAACCTGTTCCTCCATTTCCTAGTAGGTTGATGGAAGATAAAAAAGCTGAACTTGAAGAAGAGACATTGAACACTTTCAAAAAGATGATGATCAACATTCCATTGTTAGAGGCTATTAAGGAGATTCCCAAGTATGCAAAATTTCTAAAAGAGTGGTGCACGAAGAAGAAGAAGTTCAAAAATAAGGGAAGTGTCAAAGTAAGTGAAAATGTTTCTGCTATCATGCAAAGAAAATTACCAGAAAAATGCTCTGATCCGGGTATGTTTACAATTTCATGCATTATTGGTAATAAGAAAATTGAGTTTGGTATGATAGATTTAGGGGCATCTATTAATGTGATGTCATTTTCTTTATACAATGCCTTAAATTTAGGACCGCTAAAAGAAATAAATGTGGTTATTCAACTTGCAGATGGTTCGCATGCGTATCCAGAAGGAATTTTAGAAGATGTTTTAGTACAAGTTGATGAACTAGTTTTTCCTGCAGATTTTTACATTGTAAAAATAGAAAATGGTCATGCAAGTTCAACTCCAATTTTGTTAGGAAGGCCATTCATGAAAACAACAAAGACGATAAAGGCATTATTTCTGTTGAATGTGATGGTGATATAGTTGAATTTAATGTTTCTAAAGCATTAAAAGTTTTTAATAATTCACATTCTCTTTGTGCTAATGATGTTAATTTGATTGGTATAGGTTAATCAGGTTGAGCAAGATATCGAGCATTACGACATAAAACAATTGTGCTTTTGGGAGGCAACCCAAGTTTAAAGTTTCTTTCATTTTATTCAAATTTTACTTGGTTTCATTTGTTTTCAGTTTGTTTCATTAAAAAAATAAAATAAAATAAAAAACTAAAAAAAAAATCAGAAAAATAATAATAACTTAAGCATTTTTTTTTTGTTTATTTATCCTTTTTCTTTTTCAGGAGCTCATTTTCTCATGATGAAATCCAACTACTCTTCATTATTCCCATCATTGGCGATTGCTTTCACATCATGAACCATGTAGCTACTTGTGGTATCAACTGCAAGTCTTCACATCTCAAAAGAAATTTTTCAGGGAGCTTCCAAAACACAATTCTTATGCAGTTATTATTGCTTTGCGGGCTATTTTTCAAAATAGCTGAGTTGGTTCTTTATAAATTGAATGATGTTTGACTTGAAAATTTGCATGTCTACGTGCTAATACGTTTTCTATCTTTTTCGAGCTCTGTATTTTTTCTAGTTTGCACTAAAAGATGTTGTTCCAAACTCCTTGTTTACTTCTTATTGTACAAATACATTGTCTTACATTGAGGACAATGTAAAAATTAGGTGTGGGGGAGGGTTTTATTGTTTTTATAAACCCCTGCATTGGTTTTAATGTCAAAATCCCCAAATTTTTCATAAATTTTGGCTCTCTATATGTCCTAATTTGTCAATTTATTTCAAATGATTTAGAGCCAAAATATTTTTGTGTATCCCATTGGTTTTAATGGTTAAGAATGTACCATATTTGATGCAAATTTAACCCTTTCCGTGAGGTTCTATAGCCAAAGAGCACACTTGCTCAATTTTCGAGTGTTATCATTCATAGTATGTTACTACACTGTTTTGCTTATGTCATACATTTCATAGCTGCATTGATGAATTTATGCAATAAATGATAAGGGCATTTAGGTTTCGCCAAGTTTAGCTATCGCAAAATCATACCTTAATTGTTTACCCCTAGTAACCATTTCAAGCCTGAGCCTATTTTCGAGCTCCACCAATATAATCCGGAGCCTAATTTTTAGCTATCTTTTCACCTGTTATTCGGAGTATGTATGATCACTGCTTGATTTTGGTTTGTGGAAAGTGGTTGTGCGGTGGCAATATTGGTATGGTAGGTTTAGTATGATAGGATATGTGTTTTTGTTTTCATAAACCCCTGCATTGGTTTTAATGTCAAAATCCCCAAATTTTTCATAAATTTTGGCTCTCTATATGTCCTAATTTGTCAATTTATTTCAAATGATTTAGAGCCAAAATATTTTTGTGTATCCCATTGGTTTTAATGGTTAAGAATGTGCCATATTTGATGCAAATTTAACCCTTTCCGTGAGGTTCTATAGCCAAAGAGCACACTTGCTCAATTTTCGAGTGTTATCATTCATAGTATGTTACTACACTGTTTTGCTCATGTCATACATTTCGTAGCTGCATTGATGAATTTATGCAATAAATGATAAGGGCATTTAGGTTACGCCAAGTTTAGCTATCGCAAAATCATACCTTAATTGTTTACCCCTAGTAACCATTTCAAGCCTGGGCCTATTTTCGAGCTCCACCAATATAATCCGGAGCCTAATTTTTAGCTATCTTTTCACCTGTTATTCGGAGTATGTATGATCACTGCTTGATTTTGGTTTGTGAAAAGTGGTTGTGCGGTGGCAATATTGGTATGGTAGGTTTAGTATGATAGGATATGTGTTCTTATTTTAAGTCCAATAATGTCTTAGCTCTGTATATCCAAAAAGTCAGGACAGTGCCCAAGAAAAAAAATGTTATGAAAAAAAAATGAAATGAAAAAAACAAAATGAAAAAAAAAGCAATATGCTGAAAAAAAAAAAAAGAGAGAAAAGAAAAAAAGGCACTTATGTTCTGTTTTCTGTCCATTCAGTTATTTGATTTATGCTTCAATTTCGTTTTTTTTAATTATAAGAAAAATAAAGAAAAAAATAATAAAGGGGGTTTGGTGTTTACAATATTTGAATATCTTTTTAGGACACCATAACTTGGTCATCAAAAGTCTTAGTGACTTATGTTTTATGTAATAATTCTTTTAGTAGATTGGGATTTGGTTTGTAATAGTATATCAATGTTGCCATCGTATGGGTCATCTGGAATGATGGTGAGAATTGAGTATGTGGTCTACATATTGTCGGTAACTTAGCCTTCTTATCCATATTTATCCTACCCTTTGAAATTCCCTTGACCCATTACAACCCTATGAAAGACCGTTTTGATGTTGCATGATTGTTCATTTACTGCTCAAAGGATTTGATACATGACAAACCTATGGAATACATACTATATTTATAATTGAGTGCTTACTTATAAATATCCTTTTCTTTCGAGTGTATTGAGTGAATCTTTGTGAGGCATTAAAGTTTGGTACATTCTGAAAAATGCTAGTAAAATGGGTACACATGTTTTCAATATGATGAGTGATGCTTTGCTTGTTTTACAAACTATTATCTCTGTTGAAATTTTCAAAATGCTGATTCATAAAGTTTTGAAAAGATTTTAGCATGCTTGAGGGCAAGCATAGTTTTGGTGCGGGGGAATTTGATAATTATAATAAAATTCATTTTATTATAATCTTCTAGTCCTAAATTGGTTATATTTTAGTGATTATTAATGGATTTTGTTATGACTTTGTTGTTAGGTATCAAAAAGTGAAAAGATGGACCATTTTGGATTTTTACGGCCCTTTTACAAAATTTTACGGAGTTAAAAGATGAAGAAAACTCCAGCTGCAAAGAATACACACAAATGGGTTCCTAGAAGATTTTTTTTACCAAGTCAACCATCCAAATCTTGATCCCATATTCGGTTGTAGAGAATCATGCAAACAAATACTGATTTAGTGGAAAACTAGGATGAGATTTGATTTGGATTTTACTCCCATTTCTTTGGGATTTTTTTCAGCCATTATGCACTATAAATAGTGGTCTCCTCAATTGATAAAAGCACCCCCGAAGCTTGCATTTTTTGGCTGCTACTACTTTCTCCATTTTTGCCACCATTTTCATTTATATGTGAGACTACAAGTTTCATTTTATTTTTTCAACTTTTGATTCAAGTACTTATTGATTTTGATTTATTTTTATGAGAGTAGATACTTGATTAATCTGATAATTTAATCAAGTATTTTCTTCGTACTGCTACCAAATTGTTTATGTTTCGTTATCGTCTTAAACATTTGGCACTAAGTAGCACATTAGCACATTATGCATATTGGTAGTGACACGTTGAATGTACATGATTAGTCTAACTAGGGGATCAATAGGACAAAAATCTTTTAATTGCAGTTATCTCAATTATTTTAGTTTTTTTTTAGTTCAACTACATTTTCAAAGATTTTATTGCTATCAAAGTTTTGATTAGGTGTTGGGCTTGGTCAAATATTTTTTGGAAAATATAAGGTTTTTTTACGGTTATCCTATTAAACCTACGGTTGAATGTTTGAGTTGTAGAAAAATTATTTTTAGTCGACGATCTGTAATATATTTGAAAAATATTCTTTGAACCAAGGTTTCTCTATTAATTTTTCTTAAGTTTATTTACTTTAAATTTTGTCAATTTTATTTTGAAGAAAGAAAAAAAATCCCCCCATTTTGTTACTTTTACAAAGCCAAGTGTCAACAGTCGCCTCTCTTGGGATTTGACCTGATTCCACTGTTTCTATAATTTAATTTTAGTCTGTTTGGAATTCAGATTAGTTTTTGGGGGTCTCGACACACCCGTCAGCAAGCCATTTCTAGCAATCGGTTGTATCGATTCGATTATTATGGTTGGCTCGATGGTGGTCAGAGAAATGCACAAGTTTTATTCAAAGATGGTGGACAACAATCTACATCTTTTGATCATGAGTCCAAACAGTTTCAACAGCCAAAGGTGACGTTTCAACAGCTATCATTGCAATCACAGCAGAGCCATCTATCAGTGATACATGTTCAGCAGTCCCAAACGCAACCAGAGAGGTTTCAGCAGGCCGATTAGTGGATGACACAATCTATGGAGTTGCAATCGACGCAGTCCCAACAGTCATCGATGGAGTGTTCACATATTCAGCTATCATCGGCACTAGACCAGCAGGTTTGCTTGTAACCGATTCAGCATCATGATTCAGCAACGGAACAGATCCAACAGATACAGTTACAACATTGGCAAACATCATCTACATCGGCACATGTCTACCAGACATATTCGTTGCCGATGGAGTATCAGGATATTCAGTTGTCATCCGGACTTATCCGACGAGTTTGGTCACAATCGAAGCAGCCCCAGCAGACTGATCAATCGATTATGCCATTACAGTCCCAGCAGCTGATACAGTCTCTAGAATCAGTTCAGCAGCAATTATCGAAGAGATCCAATCGTTTTATTCATTACCGATGGAGTCTCAATCAGTTCATGAGAAGTCACAGTTAGTCCAGTCTAAGACACAGTTACAACTTCAGCAATAGATAGAGTCCATAGAGGTTCACTTATCATTGTCGCCGACTCAGTCATCACCAACATGGTCTTCGTCTATAGAGCAGTCACAGTCATCATTAGTGGAGTCTCGACCGACCGATCAGATAGCAACGCAGTTGAATGAGATGCTGTTACAGCCATTGTTGCAAGCACAACTACCATTGGTGCGACTTCAGCAGATTCAGCCATCTCTAGTGCAATCCGAGCAAGCCGGTCCATCTATAGCACCGATCCAACAACCATTGGTACAATCTCAACAAAAGCAGCAATCGTCGACACAAATCCAGCAAATACAACAACTATTATGGGTAGAGTGTGAATGGATACGGCAATCACGGGCGTCACCCCAAGAGTTGCAATCGTCATCAAGAGTCCTTGGCAAGTTGAGAAATCAATGATAAAGTTGCAGCAATCGTCATAGTGTCAGCAAGTGCAACAATTGGCAATGGGAAACCAGTCATCCGTAGTAGATTATCAGCCGATCCCACGATTGATGGATCAGCAGCCTCAACAAGAGACAATGCAGTTGCAAGAATTGGTAGAGTTGCCGTTGGTGAATCTTTAAGATTCTAATTTACCATCATCGCATGAAACCAGCTATTGGTGCCGATAGAACAAATACAGCAGTTGTAAAAGTCATCATCAGAACCAGTTCAACATAGTCAACAACAAGTGATGCAGTCCTATCAGTTTCAGCAAAACTCAGCAGCGTTCCATGAGCAGGTGATGCCGTTTGATCAGAAGATGGTACTATTTAATGAGTTCCAAGGGCAAAGTTTGCAGTTTCAGAGGCAGATGGTGCCAAGTAGATCTTTTCAGAGTTTGTCTCAGTCGGAACAAGGCCAGTTGCAAGAATCACTTTCGGCGATTTATGTTCTGATACCATCAATGCAGAATCAGTCACGAGTGCTACTCGAGAAGAATTAGTGTTCGACATTATCAGTGCATTATCAGGTGTTTTAGCATTTAGCGTCACTGCACCAACACTATGCAGATTCTAGAGAGATCCACATGGCTGATGATTCTGCAGTTGGGCAGTATGTTCAAGATAAATGGTTGGTTAACAACAAACAAATCTTTGTAGGTACAATTTATAGTGATGCCAGTCAGAGCGGCGATGGGTTCCAAAGAATTCATGAACGGGATCGGCAATCTAGAATGTTGTTAGTGACTGATAAAAGCCCAAATAATTGAGATGGCTGCTATTCTGAAGAAGTTTCTTTGATGCCCGGGGCAGCAAGTTTCTAATGATGGGGTCATGCCCGAATAATTGGATAGTCATGACCTGCAATTTCAGCGAACCGTCGGACGATCAGCAGTCTGCAATTATACACATCAACTTGGTGTTGTTTATTCCACAAATTCTTACACACTCAGTCCAGAAGGTATGGGTACTTGGCACTATCATGTTGATTCAAGTTTTCAGTTCGGTTCTGTGATTGTTAGTAGAAGTAATAGAGGCCAACTTGCGAGATACCCATTATCCATGTTTAATGTAAGTGCGTTGGCTGAGATTGATGATAACCGAAGTTAGTTTCATACATCCATGGTGAACATAGAAAAAATGTTTGATGGTTTGAATAGAGACATGTGGGCTTGTATGAAGAAACTTGATAGTATGGTGCAACACGTGTCCCAAGTTCCAACAATTGAGATAGCAATTGAATCATTATGCCTTGGTGATTTTGTAGATGTTAATGGCTTTCAAGAACATGTTGATCTATCTAACGAATATGGCGAGACTTCAAGTAGTAAGGAGGTAGATGATGAAATTGATTGCAGAGAGCGGTGTGATGCAGAACCTTAAGACCGTGATGATAATAACTTTACAAACAGCAGAATTATGGGTCATCAAGGTCAAAGTCGTTCGACGATACTCAAGATCGATGTAGTTGAAACAAGTGAAACAAAACTGTCATCAATTGAAGATGGTTTGAAATATGTGGATACGAGTCATAATGATTATGGTCACTTTCAACATTCTAGACCTTCCCATAAGGTTTTGGATTCCTTACCATTGAAGCAGGAACTACAATGTTTCTTGAGTTCAGCTGGGGTTATTTAACTGTTATGAGTAAGATGATGTTGTCATCAATTGAAGGTAGCTTAAGGATTGTGTTTCAAGATTACAAAAACGAGTCTTCTGATGTTAGCCGTGTTCGACAGTCTGAGTTTATAGCCGACATAACTTCAGATTTTTCAAATCTCAGTCACCAAGAACAAGGCCAACTGATAATGCCTGATAATAATGAGACTCGAGACACTTCACTGACAGCGGGTGAAATGCCAAAGGGGTCAATCTGCAATGATCGGCAGCATGGGGCAGCCACCGCATCACTTCTATTTCTTCACAGTTTAGTCAACAAGATAAAAGCAGATTGTCGGCACTTGGTGTTGATCAAGTTGAAACAAGCATGACTACATCATTAGTGGCTGGTGAAGTATCCACAAAATTGATTTGCAATGATGGTGATCATATTCGGAAGCCTGATTCGTCGGTCGATTATGTTTCTCTTAAGCAACTGGATCAAGACCGTTTGAATATACAAGAAGAGGAACGGGCTGATATGGGCACGATCAAGTTGCCGGGAGTAGAGAGTATCTCCAAAAAGGTGGTTAGTGGCAATGAAGAGCAAAATCGACAGACTGATTCTAGCGGCGATCGAGCTGAGCAAACGGTTATTTCTTCGCAAACCAAAAGAAGCTCCAATCATGCATGGATTTACGACAAGAGAGGCTCCGTGAGGTCCAACAACAAAAGGCGTAAAGGTAAGTCCATGCAACATTCTTTTTGTCACTCCGATAGAGCCAAGTCTACAAACTCTTTATATGGGGCCGATTCTTTTTGTGTTGATGCTGAATCCGATGAGAATCAAGAGGAGAAATACATTGTTTGGTTGGATTATGGTGCTACTGTAGAATGGAACTTTGAGTTGACCGCTGATCAGAGGATCCAGAAATCATTAGCTGGTCAAGGAAAAAGGCATTGCACTCGGGCTTATGCCAAACTTTTTGGGTCTACACCAAAGAGGATTAGAGCATTTCATGTTGAAATGATAGTGGCCAAAAAGGATGTTGATATGAAGCTGGAGGTTAATGAGAATAGAGAGTGCAATGAAGTTAATTGGTTGAAGAATGTTGAAGTAGAGATAGAAGTCGTTAAGCTGATTGAAGAACGACAGGTCGAGTCACATTTAAAAGATAATAATTGTCACCTCATTCATGCGGCATTAAGTGAAACCAATTTGGCTTCAACAATCAACAAAGAAATGAGCTGCAAGCTAATCAATTCTGATGCAGTTGGTGGTTCTGTCATCTCCAACCCGGTTTTCATACAGTTCGGCAATCAGTCAGAGGTAAGATGTGACCAACCGATCACTTTTCCATTGATTGTGCAAGGTCGAGATTTGTTAGCAGTGAGTGACAAAGAAGGTTCCAAGGAAAATGGTTCTGATATAGGCAGTAGTGCTACCGCAACAAATCCAGTTCTTAAGAAGATGAATGACCAGTTTCAGGTACGGCGAGAGAGGGTCACTACTTCTTCATTGAATTTTCAAGGTCGACACTTGGCAATAGTTACAAAGGAGGTGAAGAACAAAAGTGTCATTCCTGGTGTTAAAGTTCAAAATGCCAAGAAGCGAAAAGTAAGCAGTGCTTTTAGTTCTACATCGAATGGCAGATTCAGTCCAAATCGGGCCTCAATTTTAACATGGCACAAAAGGAGAAGAATCATATAAGCTATCCGCGGAGACAAAGATCACAAGAGTACAGATCTAGTTCCAGAGCAAGTGGTAGCTTTAAGGGAAAGTTTCAGCCATCACGAAGAAGTAAGCATGCACCATTTTTTTATCCATATTATTCACATTATGCGTGGGTACCATATTATGCTATGTATCCTGTGGGATAGTGTTATGTGGATCTAAGGGCCACGTGGAATGCGTCTTGCTGGTGGTAGCATAGTGTTTATCAACGATCATATCAAAGTCATATTTAATATGAATGTTCGGGGGGCATTATATTCGGCCAGTTTTTGGATATTTGTGTCGACGGGTGATGTTGGTGATAGCCCATGAGTTTTAGTGAATTTATATGATTATGGCTGAGGTTTTAAGACCCTAAAATAGCCCAAAAGGGACCAAAATACCTTTGGGGTTAATATGGGCTGATTGAGTGTGAACAGATTCAGAATTAGAAAAGGAAAGTAGAAGCCGAGTGGGCATAGAATTGTTCCATAATCGGTTACGTGATTAATTGGCAATTAAGGAAGATTCCTCCTTATTTCTTGCTCCTTTTAATAAGGCAAATTACCAGTAATTAAAGAGATATGATTGGAAAATGATTTCATTACCAAATTAAGAGCTGATTGTGAGAAGAGTCATCAACCGATTGGGAGACTGCTGCGGGAATAGTGTCTTATTTTCAAGAAATTGACCGTGTTAAGTTACCTTTTCTCCAAAGAATCATAGGGCAGCAAGGGTTTCGTCCAAACACTATAAATAGAAATAGCCATGAAGAGAAAATCATCACCGATCAACCATACAACTGGTTTTCCTTGTCCTTTATTATTTCTTTCACCGTTTATCATGTTTTCATCTTTCCTATGGTAGTTCAACGTTCTATCATGCTTTCTTAGCCCCTAGCTTAGCAATAGAGTTGTTTACCTTTTTCTCCTACATAGAATTAGGTAGGTGTCCACCGTTTTCTACTCCAACAAATTCGGTTATGTTGTAATAGGTGTTCTAACACTTATGTATGTCGGACTACCCTCTGCACATCCGTCCTATCTTTGTCTTCTATGTTAGCGTGTCATCGGCACCATCTATAGATTACCGGTGCTAGGATTTTCCACTTTATGAGTCAAAACACCGTCTCTTCAGCTTTTCCCTACTTTCTCTAAATCTCTACTTGTCTTTCTCAAACCAAAGTAAATAACCCTAAGTTCTCGATTCTAGTCCGAGGCCGATTCGAACTCAACCACAATCATCTGATTTAATTGTGTTTTGGGTGAGTCTTGTTCCCCTTTTTCCCACGGTTTTGGGTCCCCAATTTTCACGCAAACAGATATATACTCTTTTTAATCATGACTACATGTCGTTGATTACTTCAACCCACATTTGAGTCGAAGAGAAAATGCTTGGGGAACATTAACCAAAATAAGATTCTATAAATGCATGCACAGAATTTGCAGCTGATCTGCATGCAAAAGCTGAAGAATGACTTTTGGCTTCAGCAACTTGTATTTCGTGGGGGTTGGGGGGGGGGGGGGCATGCGGTTGACTCTCAAGTCTCAACCAACCGAACCATTGTAATCATTTTCCTTTATAATACTACCTTTGTTTAAAAAAAGATGTCCACTTTTAAAAATGTAAATTTTAAATTTAGACTTATAAGATTGGTATAACCTAAAATTGATTATTAAATTGATAAATAGTCATGAAACTTCATTCAATTTTTTCATATTAATTTTTAAATTTGCAAAATTAAGTCATTCAATATTTATATTTTAGTTTTTTAAATTGGACAATTTTTCTGAGGAGGTAGTAAAATACATGTGAAACTTTAATATTTTTTAACTAGCGGAACCATTTTATAAGTTTTGAATGAATATAAACAAGTTTATCATGGGACCTATCCTAAAACTTGTGAGACATTAGTCAGATAAGTATTAAAATCATTTTTGTTTGATTGCAAAAAGGGATTCTACTTGTGTTATCTTTAACATATCCTCAGTGTTGTCATGCTTGCTCGGACCGGCCGGTCGAACCGGAAACCGGCCCCTATACCGAACCGAGCAAGGGTTAAAATCGTCAAAAAGTAGATCGGTCAAAGTCGGTCAAAATCCCGGTCGAACCGCGACTCGGTTAAATTCGGGTCGAACCGGGGTTTTAATTTTTTTTTATTTTTGACCCAAAATTTGCACCTTTTTCCATGGATTTCAAGTTCCAATGTCTTCCAAGGCCAATTTTTTCTCTTTTGTTCAAAATTGCCCAACAACTTTCAATGTTTTGTATTTTAAAGTATTAATTTGAAATTTAGTCCCCATATTCATTTTCAATTTTCAAATATAATATTTTGAATAATCTTTTTTTTTAATTTCGCTACAGAAACTTAATTCCGTCATTTTATGAAAAATTTATATTATAACTCTAATATGTCACAAAAAATTAATCTCGGAGTACTTTTTCTTAATGTGCATATTAGTTGTCCTTCAAATTCAAAATTTTTTTCTAAATAATAATGTATTTATCTTAATTACTTTATTAGTATATTAATTTACTTCACTTGAATAACAATTAACTACTGAAAAATATCAATATCAACTAATATAATCAAAGAGATATATAAAGCTTAAGTCTTTTTAATTTAAAATATATTAAATAACTAAATATTATATAATTAATAATAATGACATCATTAGAATCTACCTCATGAGTTTAATTTGATTATTTGGAGACCCATTTAGAAATTATGAAGTATTAATTTGACTCCATCAATTGAAAAATATATATAAATTTATAAAATGCTAATTAATATAAAATTTATTAATTAATTAATATTTATGACGTCATTCGAGTCGACCCCCCGAATCGCCCCGAGTCGACTCCGATTCGATCGACCCCTTGGTCATGCCGAGTCGACCTCCGGTCCGAGCCTGACAACACTGCATATCCTTTTTCTTCTGTTGAGCCTGTTGTAGAACATGAGCTAGCTGACATGAGATTATTCAAAGCAGACATTTCTACCTTTTTTTCCCCTCAATTTCGCAGTTTCTTCAACATCCAAAAGTTGCTTGTCTTTTCTTTTTTTTTTTCTTTATAATGAAAAGTTGCTTGTCAATCTGCCTTGGTTTCCTTCTTGCTATAATCATGCATTGAAAATAATGTGTGGTTTTTTTTTTTCCTTTGATCATGTTGTGTTCGAACTGCAAACGTAATGTCTGCAAGCAACAGATTGTTCACCTTTATTCATTTAGCACATTACTAACAATAATACCCCCTCTGTCCCAAAAAAAAATAGTACTAGTGTTGTACTAACAACAATATAAATTTCAAAACTGACTGTAGATTATTTTTTTAGGACTGCGGGAGTAATATGGTTCCAGTTCTAACCATTTGTTTCTGACAGCTTCAATCTTCAAATCATGAAAGAACAAGATTTCATCCATTCGCTTTTTAATCAAAGTGTCGGGTATTGCGGAGTTCTTCTCTCCTTTGGTAAGATGGGATGTTACGTTGTTTTTTCTTTTTCTTTTTTTCTCCACAAGTGAGAGTGCTTTGGTAAAACAACATAACTTATCCTTGCTCCTGAACTGGAGAGTTGCATGTTACGCAGTCGCTATCCGATTATGTGACTTCAGTTGATCCGAATTCAAGCCAGTTAGGCGCATTTCGGGAGTAATAACTTGCACCGAAATGTCAAGATATAACCACGCCCTGACCGAAAACACACATACAGGATAAGAAAGTTTGCAATATGCAATTCCTTAGTCCGATCAATTTCTTCTTTATCTTTGTTCAATTTAATGAAAAACCTGCCACAATTTGTGAAATTTTTGTCTTGATCGTGGTGCCCCAGCGCGACACTTTTCTCGTGTGCAATAAAGTCAATATTCCTTTTCTTCTTGTCAAATTGCAGAATGCGATCATTGATATAGAATGAGGAGAAATCAGTGGCAAGTAGTCTAGTATTAACTAAATTTCATATTTGTCATTATTAAATACCTAATGAACTTGTTCGGGCAATTTTTTTCATTTTTTTTTTGTTCACTTTTACATAAAAACAGGACTGAAATTTGTCTATATTCCGGTTCTTGGGCTTTTAAAATAATGAGGTTCTAAAATAATAGGTGTGTTTGAGCACCGGGGATCTTAATTAATTACTTTGTCCATACTTCTTATGTCGAATTAATGATATTTTCTTGATTCCTGAATTTTAAGTTTTGCGTTAACGAAGTTTCAGAAACCTTCCAAACCCTTTGTATCTGGTTGACTCCTAAGCTTAATTTTTCAGTTCAACTACAATTTGCTGGTTGCAGAATACTTATCCTATACTATTGCACTCGGATAAATCAAGATATTGAGAAAGATTTAGCCATGAACTGTTTTCAAGCTGCCTTCGATGTTCTAGAATCAATAGCCTCTCATTTTCCTGAGTGTAAATCATCGTTACTTTGGGATCTAAAGTTGCTTTTAAAGACTTTTGAGAACATTTTATTTGTGTGGAAGCAAATTGGGTGAAGGTGTGGAAAAATTTGCTTCTACCTTAGTCAGCATTGGAGAGATTGTTCACAAACATGCCAAGGAAATCCAGTCTACCTGTGATTTTCTCATATCGAAGGATGGCGATGATCGGCAAACTACTGATTCGAAACAGGATCATCTCTGGAAGGCGTTTCATATTTCTGCATTTCTCGTCCGCGTCCATCAAGCATTTTGGCAAGACATGGAGCAACAGTATCCGATTTTCTTAGATGGCTTATAAGATCTCTTCTGGATGAAGTGATGGTTCAGGGCAACCGAAGTAGGAAGCTCCAAGATCTCCTTCATCGTAATGCTGCGGTAGCTTATGAGACCGAATATTTCTTGGGTTCTTCTGACCTGAAGAATTTATCTGTGCTGCTTAATACCTTAACAGAAGAGATCAGCCTTGTAAAGGCTGAGGTCCTGGAACCACGACGATCGCCAAAAACCACAATACTGCTTGAATGCGCCATCAGGACAGAAACTTTCTAGCATTGAATGAACTTGTTGTGGGCTTGGATGAGGATGCACAAAAGATACTTGATAAACTCACAAGAGGAACACAACAGTTGGACATTGTTTCTATCGTCGATATGGCTGGATTAGGTAAAACCACGTTGCCAGGAAAGTTCATAAAGATCCCTCCATCATCTTGTACTTTCACGATTGTTCCTGGTGTTCGGTTTCTCAAGTACTCTGTCGATTACAGAACAATGCATAAAGACTTTGGAGTTGAGTTATATTCAGTTGCCCGAACATTTGAAGAAATGTTTTCTATACTTTGGAGCATTTCAAGAGAACCAACAAATACCAGTACGCGAATTGCTATGGCTTTGGATTGCTGAATGTTTTGTAAAGGAAATCGAAAGACAGAACTTAGAGCAGGTTGCAGAGGGCAACATGATGGAATTAATTCAAAGAAGTTCAGTTATGTTCACTAAGAAAAGGTCCAGAGGAAATGTCCAATCTTGCACCATCCATGACATATTGCGGTACTTTTGCAAGACAAAATGCAATGAAGAAAACTTACATGGATATGAGATCGGTACTTCTATTGAGCCAACTATAATCTATCGCCTGCACCTTGACACCAGGAGAATATACGATTTTGCAAATGCAATCCTGCTTTATCCTTGTTTTGCGCACCTTCTTTTTCCTTGCTGATCATCATGAAACAAGGCATGGGCGACAATAGTACGATATTTTTCACCAGTTTTTGCAGTCAAAATTGTTAAGAGTTTTGGACATGAGGGAATGTTTGGAGCATGGAAGAAAGGAGATTCCCCCACACTAAGATTTCTGAAGTTAAAATGCTTGGATTTAGTTAGCTGGATGTCATCAGATGATATTTTTCCTCGCCTTGAAATATTAGTATTGGAAGAATGTTTAGACTTGGAGGAATTGCCTTCCTGCTTAGCCTTTATTTCAACTCTTCAAATGATCGAGGTGTCCAATTGTGAATCCGCCACTAGTTCAATATAACAAATTCAAGAAGAAGTGATCGATATGGGATATGAGGACTTAAAGATGATTATACCCTTCAGAAGAACAGAGTTAACCTCGACGCCTGATTGACAAGTTAAGCCCAAGTGAGTTTTCATAACTTAATTATGTGAAAGATTATAAAGTATGTAATCTAGAACTATCACTCCTCCACAGCCCTTATTTCTAGCACTATCTTTGTGCTCTTTTAAGGTGACATGTTAACCTACATTTTTTAGGTTTGGATTCTGCGTCATATGTCTGGCTGTACTTTTGGGCTAATTTGAGTTCTTCATTGTTCAACACGTACAACTCCATGTTTGCTTTATATGCGAATTATGGATTATGAGTTAGCAAATTCTTTTGAATTTGACAGCTACACTTTGATGTGTAAATTTGGAACAGAAAAACAAGTGTTCATAGTTCGAACTTTGGAGTCCCATTGTGCTGCTTGGCGTTTCCTGGACTTGACAAACTCAAGGATTTGATTGATCTCTGCTGATAATTCTGTCCCAAACATTAATTTACATCTGTGCAACTAGCCTTTCCGTCTTAGAGTGCATTTTGTCTTCTTGGGTGCATTTCTGGCTTGGAGTGCCTTTTTGTCACAAACATTTATTTACATCTGTCCCAAACGCTTTTACTGAAATGTGCTTCATTTATCTGTTTTATTTATTTAATTTTTTTTTTTTTTTTGTTGAAAACGGATTATCTGGTTTTCAATTCCCAACTACCATGACTATTATCAGGACTCTCTTCGTGACGATTGTCATTCCACTCTAGGAAGCAATAGGCTTGTACTTGGAAACATTGTTGATTCCTCAATTTTTTATTTATTTATTTTTGGGATAACCAGTTGATTCCTTAATCTGTACTCTTTAACCATGAAATTCAGAAACGCTACATGCGAGCGATGGGATGCCCATTTCCAAATGATGTTGCTGAAAATAGGCTTGTTAAATTCCAGCAGAAGATACATTGAAAGTAGGTAGATATTTGTATATCCTCCCAACAAATTAATATGCCAAATCAATATGTCCAACAAAAGAGGCCAAAAATGGGAATAGAAAGTAAACTACAAACTTCGATTAATCAAGTACAATTTGAAGTTTATACTCTAAGCTAGTACAGAACCTACAATATTCATCATCAAACAGTTCAGTAACTTGTCTTGAAGGGTGTGTAAGTTTTAAGATCAGTAACAACTCCAGCAACAGAACCAGCAGCAGCAGCAATCGATATGATCAAGCATGCGACACTCAACATCTGTAGGCATATCCATTTTCGGCTCCATTTTTGTATCTTTGTTTGCACAATATACATTTCAACTGGGAAGTACACCGTCAGAGGCCAAAATCCAATAGCTCCAAGAATGCCAACTACGTCGTTGAAGAATGGCATAAGCATCGAAATCACTGTGGTGAAAATGACAAATATCGTGCGCCAAATTAACCGGAAGAAGTTGATTTTGTATGGTGACTTGAATCGATACAATGGTATTTCGATTTCTTGAGAGATGAACATGCTTTCCGGGAACCATTCTGTCGCGGTGTTTTCAACGAACGCGAAAAAGGGTTGACTGAAGACTTGATATGCCCCAACAAGATGAACAACAATGGCTAAATTGGCTATGTCCACTAGCCAGTATGGATTGTAGAAGCCAAAGCCGGTTAGGAGATTTCCGGGGGAGAGGTCTCCAAACGCTGCATACCCGAAGCAGCCACACAACATGTAGAAAACTGTGGTTGTCACCACACTCACTAAAGTGGCCTTTTTCATTGTTTTGTGTTCAGATGGTGGGGATTTGATTGTATCTTCAATCTCAAGTAGTATGAAGGAGTATGAATAGGCAAAAGCAATTGCTCCAAGGGCTTGAAAAACTCTCCAAACTTTGTCAATAGGAGTCACCATTCCAATGTTGATTCCAGTAAGACTTCCCCTAATTTTACCTGATTCTCCAACCCTTCCAACTCCAAGGCCGAGACCGATCATAGAGTAAGTAAAAGACATCACCGCAGCAACGATTGAGAGCCACCAAATTCGGTGGAAATCAGGGATTTGGGAGAAAAATATTTGCACAACTCCGAACATAATCATGTAGAGATTGCTGGAAACTTTGCATGGATCTCTGTGGTGGCTAGAATGAAAACAGTTGGACTTCTCGATTGCCACCATGCTTATGGAAGCTGCAATGGTGTAACCAATGGCGGTTCCAACAAGATTCAGGTATTGAATTGCTCCACACAATTTCACTTGAAAGCCTCCGAGGTTGGATTTCACAGCCTCCATATAGGTATGATTTCTTTTCCCGTCTCCTGTTCGGTAACAAGCAGACAGAATAATGGAAGTATAGTATGTGACAAAGGCAAACAGCAACATCACAGATGTACCAGCAACCCATCCAAGCTGCGCCATGGACCAAGCCAAAGACAAGACTCCTGAACCAATTACTGCTGTAATAATATGCGCACTTGTTGTCCAAACCGTCCCGGTTCTCTTCAGCCTCCCGTCATCATCGAAATCATTGGAGACACTTTGTGAAGAAACAGAAGGCGGAACATCCAGCGATTCAACTTCAAGTCCTTGGTGGTGGCAGTTCTTCTCAGGTAGCACCTTTGATGAGATTGGCGTGTCCTCAGCCATCTTTCCTTTGATCAGCTGAGCTTTTCTGATATAGTTTCTCAAGAGCAGTAATAAAACTGAAAAGGGGTCCAACAAAGTAGAGAATTGCAACCGAAAACTGGTTTGGAAATTTGCAGAAGGGAAAACTGGATAGGGGTGGAGGATGGCTTGCTTGCTTTTTCTTTTTTTGTTTGAGTCGTCTGGAAATTGGGTATATTTATAGATTGCCGACTGAACCTTTTCCAATCACCAAACTCATTTTGTCGCATAGAGTTTCCTAATTATACTAATGTTCCAGCCGGCCTTTCCTTCCCCGAAAGTAATAAAAAAACCTTATGAGATTTGATTGATTATGTTGACTAGTAAAAAGCATACTTGCAGGTCATATATTCATGGACAAAATGCACTTTTCGTTCTCGAGTCTTTTAGCATAGTAAAATCGAGTTAACATAAATTTTTAATTAGTAAAATTAGTTTTTTAAAATATTTTTTTTGTCAATTTTAGTTGATTTAACAAAAAAAATTTAGTCAACTAACGATTAATCTTTTTCTCTGTTAATTTTTTATTTTTTTATTATTTTCTTCCTAATCACGGGGCCCACAACTCTAATCGATAAAATTAATTCATTTCCTTTTAAATTAAAGAGTACTATTTTCTTATGAACTATTTAATCGATCCATTTTCTCTCAACCTCCGGCCGGCACCACGACCTCCGACCATCAGAACCTCCCAAAAAATCCCATTTCCTGAGAGAATAAGAAGCGAATTGCCTGCTCAAAAGTTATGGGAATCGATTTTACACGAATTTGGTGGCTGAAATCTGAGAGAGGATCGGCGGAGGTCGCTGGAATCGGAGCCACGGTCGGCTGGGATTCTGAAAGGGGGGAAGAGGATTGTATTCAATGCATAGATTTGGGTTTGATAGATTGATCAATTTATCGTTCCAATTAATTTGTAGTGTAAGGAACTAAAGGATTCTCTTGAATTTTGATAGGGATTTGTGCACTCAGAAGTCAACACTCAAAGCTCGGAACTCAGACAGTCACCTCAACAGGGATTGATTCGGGTCGTCGGCGGGTCCATTCCAAACCCAATTTATCCCACAATAACATAATAGAAAAAGGATGACAACAGAGAGAAGAGGCGCAGTAGAAGGCAGGTCGCGAACAACCCTTTTTGAAGAATAACCAACAAAGATAAAAAGGGGAAACCAATTGGATTGGAATTGGGTGAAACAATGGCACGTTTTTTTAAACCTCTCAGAGCTCATGTTGCAGGCTTTTCTGGAATTAGGCTTTTTTATTTTATTCTTCTTGCTTCTCCTCCGGCTGTTGCAGGCTTCTAGTTGTTGCGTTTTACCGACGGTTGTGTTTGGTTTCCTAGTTGCTGCGTGAGCGTGTCTGAATTTTTCCAAGGGATTCCTCTTCGGTTTCCTGCGTTCTGAATTTTTTTTGTACACTTTCAAGTTTTTTCTGCTGCTGCTTCTGTCCTCTTCGGTTTCCGGTCTCAACATGTCTGAAGTTTCTTCAACACTGCCGGAAATAATGGACAGAGCAACTGCAACCGGTGGGAAAATAATATCCCACAAACAGTGTATTCCGGCCTTTTTTTTCAGTTTTTGTTGTATTAATTTTTTTTTGGGTCAAACTTTGTGGGTCCCACAAATAGTGTAAAAATAAATATAAAACTAGAGACTTGACGGAAAGTACAAATAGTCAGTTAATTTTACAAAAAAAAAAGAAATCTGTTAAATGAACCAAAATTGATAAGAAAAATATTACAGAAGATTATTTTTGTCAATTGAAAATTCATGATTACTCGATTATGCTACGCTTATAAACTGGGAGACAAAAATTGCATCCAGTCCTATATTTATAATAGAAAGTTGACAGCTAGTTGGAATTAAAGTTAAAAAGTATACTAGCCTAGAGAGCCGCAAATCGTGCGGATGTGGTTTCAAGGGAGCCAGGGCATGGTGAGTTTTGTGTTTGTTTCGGTGTGTTTAATATGTTGTTATTAGTTTTAGTGAAATTGATAAAGGTTGTATATTGGAGTCTTTGTAGATAAATTGAATTACGTATTTATGATATTTGTATAGAAATTACATTGCAAAAAGTGGAAGAACCGTACAAAATTATATATTACATATATTGTATGTAAGTGTTTTACAAGGAAACTATATTACAAAAAGTGGAAAACGTATCTTACAATGCTTTGTAAGCAATATGGAATTGATGCATACAAAGAGTTAGTTTATTCCTCTATATTGCACTCTTTTTTCAACAGGTAGTTTATAATATTTAATCACTACTTCCGCCTTATATAATTTCTTTAACTTAAGTTAAAATATTTAACAAAAGGTTTAGGCATAGTACAGTTTCACTCAGGATCAAATTCATCCATTCTTATAAATTAATCGATAGTTTCAATTTGGTTTTAAAACTATGACTATATTTTTATGTATAATATTTTCACAAAAAGCTTTCTCAAATATTAAAGAAAGAAAAACAGAGGTTTTAAATTACCAGAGGATTGCTCTCGGTGCCATCAAAGTAAAGTAATCTAGCATTTCTAATTGGATTAAATGAAGCTAAGAACCAAAAAAGAGCTACTCCTAATAATTCTATTCTAAACAATTTAGTCTAACAAGTTCCAACCAAATTTATAGGATTTCAGTAGATGGTAATACCATATGGACCATTTACAACAATCATTAACATCAAGTTTAGAGATAAAACTCTATACCTTTTAACCAAATTTATAAAACTCTAACCTCAAGCACACACATAGCACCAATTTTTCTCTGTTTTTGGCCCCTTCTCATACATGATAATGGTTGGCAACAATTTCCTAACCGGAATCCACCCTAGTTCTTTTACTTTATGAAAACCTTTCGGCCATATACCTTTTTTTCTTTTCTCAAATCAATTCAATGATACAAAATCAATATTGACTACAATAAGGCCACGATTGAAGTACCAAAGTCACAAAAAGCACGAGCTACTTTGTCCGGTTCAAATCGACTTAATCAAAGGTAACCAAAACCCAGTATATACTTTTACTACTACTTTACATGCTTCAATTGAGGAGCAACGAAATTAAGCCTCCATATAATTTTACCAAAACTTCTCCATATAAACTTACATGCATCAATCAAAAAGAAATGAAATTAAACATTCAAATCAACTCACTTTGAACCCTTGAATTTCTTTCACTGAGAACCCCAAAATAATAGAGGGTTCAAAGTTCCCTCTGTTATTCTATCGGCAGACGGATAACAAAGCCACATTAATTGACAGATAGATAAACAGGAAGCAGAATACGTGCGGCGACCAAAATAGATTCGGTGATTTCAAAAATTAAAAACGCACTAACCTTTTAGATTTGGATAGCTGATGACAAACCCAAAAGAAAATCCGATAATCGAAGAGAAAAGAAGACTGGCAAATTCTATTCTATTTTCTCAGTGGAATAAAATTATGCCGCCAAACTTTGTTAAGAGGAAAAGAGAATCGGGCAACGGAGAGAAGAAGTTTCTCATAGAGAGGCCGACCAAAGGGGAAAAATGACGCGATCCAACGCGGAGTAACCATGTCAGCATCTTTCACCGGGAACCCCCCTTTAACCGTGCAACAAAAAAGAGATCCCCTTTTATATGCACAAGCATGGATGCACCGCACGATGTGCGGTGTTTGCGAAAAATTTACCTAGGTGATGACGTTAAAAACGTTATTGATACTTACCTGTATTGTCAGTTTTTTTATATGTCACTGTACCCGCCCAAAAAAAAAAAAGAAGTTTTGATTTCCTTCAGTATCTTGATAGCAAAATGCATATCTCCACGATACATGTAAAAGTTCTGATACTTTTCTAATCTGCATAATTTAGGACCTGAAAATTTTTTCTCAACTTTACTCCACATCAAAGTGTCATACATATTGTACAATTACATCGCCTCGAATGAATCTGAGGTCAGCTGGATGTCCAGTTTTCCACCAACATGTTGTTACTACAATACATACAGTACTACATTAACATATCTCTCTATTACTTTGAAGAGCCCAAATAAGAACAGAAAATAAGCTTAATACCATTTATTGTCATCTTCAATTGCTGATTTCACCCAAAATCACCAATGGGCACCAGAACTTTCCAAATTACTAAATGCATCCTAGTTCCTTTCCCTGATGTAACCATCTACAATCCTGTGTATTTTATCTAACTTTTGCACCCTTTTAGGCTCAATATCTTCCGCAAGACAAAACAACTTGAAAAACAAAAACTGAGCTATCATATTCAAGAAATACAAGATATATGGCAGTATAACATTATAGAGTACCTATGTATAAGAGTAGCGTTACAATAACTGGTTACTGGTATATCAAAACAAGTCACATCTAACTATCACCTTCTTCCCCCGAATAACGGCCTCTGGTTCTCCTTGAATAACTATGTATTTGGTTCCACCACCATATAATCCAGTTAGAGCAGTGGTTCCATAGTTCTCAAAATTATTTATAATGCCTGTTATTTCTTCAGGTTTAAGCTGCAGCAATTACAAGGCATCATTGCCACCTATACTACTTTTCAGAAAACTAACCCGCACATATCAAAGATTCTTATATACAAACACAAAAAGAGGAAAAAGTAACACGTTGAGGTAATGCCAGCTAGTAATACATGCTAGACCAGACCATCTAAAAAAAAAGGCTCCTCATTACCAATCTAATAAGTTTTAAATCAGTAGTTTTCATTCTGCACAAAGTCATAACTTGAAAAATCTCTCCTAACCCCAAACATGTTCAATAAACAAAAATCCCGCTCTATCATCTACCATACAGATCAAAAAACAAACATCCATGCTCTATCTCAAGCTATTTAACCCAAAAGGGATAAAAGGAAAATATGAAAGTTCTGCAATTGCAACAAACCAACACAATGTACCAAGAAAAAAAAAATTAAAAAAATCAACAAAACAATAAAAAGGTAAGCATATGGGGAACATCGAATATAATCTAAG